GGGGCGGGGGGTGGGAGGGGCGGGGCGGGGGAGCGGCGGTGTGGTCGCAGTCGGCATGAACGGGTGGCCCCGGGAATGGTGGTGGAGGCGAGGGTCTCAGGAGTGTGTAGAAGGAGGCGGAGGAGACCGGTGCTGAGGCGACGGCCGCGGCTAGGAGCTGTGGTGCCTACCCAGGGTCCCCCGGAGGGGTGGTGGGGGCACCCAGGGTCTGGAGGACCGAGGCGGGCAGGAGCCGTGACCGCACTGAGCTGCGGGGTATTTCCGAGAGCGAAGGTGAAGGGGAAAGAGCCGCCGTCGGCGCTGGGGTCCGGGAGGTCCGGGAGGTCCGGTTCTGTGTTTGGTGAAGAACCAGCTTACAGGGGCCTGGGAAGAGGAGAGGAGTCCGGGACAAGGAGAGTCTTTGTAAGCATGGCCCCCTTCCCCGCGTCCTGGGTTAACAGGACAGTCCTGCTTTATTTTCATGGATCCATAGGATTTAAGGACTTCCTTTAAAAATGTTTATTATTTTTATGGAGGTAAAATTGACATATAATATTCTATTAGTTCCAGGCGTACAGCATAGTGATTCGATATTTGTATACACTGCAGACTGATCACCACCAGAAGTCTAGTTACCATATGTTCTCATACATAGTTAAAATTTTTTTTTTTATCTTGTAATGAGAACTTTTAAAATGTACTCTTAACAACTTTCAAGTGTGCAGTCCAGTTTTATTAGCTGCAGTCACCATGCTGTACATCACATCCCTGTGACTTATTTTGTGACTGGAAATTTGTAACTTTTGACTCCCTTCACCGATCCTTCGATCCTTCGCACTCCCCTCCACGAATTATTTTTCTGCTCCTTATATCTACTTGTTTGGCCTTTTTTCTTTGTCTTGTTTTTATTTTTTTATTTTTTGTATTTTAAGATTCCACATATAAGTGAAATCATATGTTATTTGTCGTTCTCGGCATAGAGCCCTTAAGGTCCATACATGCTGTCCCAAATGCAAGATTCCATTCTTTTTTATGACTGAGTAACATTCCATGTTTATATATCTAGCATCCTTATTCATTCATCCATTGATGGGTACTCACATCATTTCCATATTTTGGCTGTTGTAAATAATGCTGCATGATTAAGTATTGATTTTCTTAGAAATGTTACATCGTGAATCAAGCTACTGAAGGTGTCTTTGAGAAATGAGGAAACCTGTAAACCAGGGCCTGAGGCCTGGGGCGAACAAATCCACTAATAAGAACTTACGATGATTAAGCAGTTTTTTTTGTAGTAGTTCCCTTTTTCTTTCAGGCCAAGAAACAATCCTGCTTTTCTCCCTGAATCTTTTTGAGTTTTCAGGTGAAAAACAGTGTGAAAGGGATAGTGTTCTCTTATTTGCCAAGGAGGGCCGTGTAGTCATTCATTCTCCTACTAAAGGGCTGTGGTTACCGAGGCTTCCCAGCAGCACGGAGGGTAGGGCCACTGGACACCCCCAACCCCTGAAGTGTTTGTAAGTCTGTAGGGAAGGGTGCCCCATTTCCCAAGGCCCCTTCATCATTAGTAGAATGTAATGAGGATTTCCTTGGCAGATGCAGATAGCTGTGCTCCGAAATCACTTAAGTGCCGTGATGGTTTTGATCAGTTAGTCATCTAAGAAAAAACTGACATCTAAACATGTACATTTCTTGCTGGAATGCTTAAGATATATGGCTAGTAACTAGTTTCAGAAACAACTTTCCCCTCAAGAGATAGTTGGAAATCTTGTGAGGGGGAGTGTCGAGTAGTAAGGTGTCCTTTGTGTAGGTTTTTATTTATTAGAACCCCAACACTATTGCTCCAACTATATTGGGACATCTCAGGGATTCTTTTTCTTCTTTTTTTAATTCATATCCTCTCTCTCTCTCTTCTCTCTCTCTCTCTCTCTCTCTCTCTCTCTCTCTCTTCCCTCCCTCCACACACACACACACACACACACACACACACACACACACACACTTTAAATTCAAATTATTCCCTACTGAAAATAAATGAAACTAACATATATGCTTTTAATAGGGAAACAGCTCGATTGCAGTATAGTGTAGCATTTATAAAGCTTCAGCTAAATATTAGTGTTTTTATAAACATGCCTAATGGTAGAGTTATTTCAAAGTATTACTCTTTTTTTTTAATTTTATGAAATCTTTATTGTTCGGATTATTACATTTGTTCCTCTTTTTTCCCCCCCATAGCTCCCCTCCACCCAGTTTCCACCCCACCCTCTGACTTTACCCCCCCCCACTGTCCTCATCCATAGGTGTACAATTTTTGTCCAGTCTCTTCCCGCACCCCCACACCCCTTGCCCCCCCCCGAGAATAGTAGTTCATTCCCTTTCTATGCCCCTGATTCTATTATATTCACCAGTTTACTCTGTTCATCAGATTTTTTATTCACTTGATTTTTAGATTTATTTGTTGATAGATGTATATTTGTT